CGAGTAATTAATTTGATAGTGGATTTCTGGAGGAAATGGAAGCAAGAAGGAAACAACTTTGAACTCCAAAGTTCAGAAGCTTGTGATAGTCGATTATCACTCCCTGATAATCGATTAACAAGATCTGATGTCGAAACCACGAACGTTCAGAGATGCCCGATAGTCGATTATCACTTTTATGATAATCGATTATAAGAAATGGCTGGATGAAATATGGAGGTGATGAAGGAGTTCTTTTTGGTATTTTGATTTATGAAGGTAGAATAGAATGTGGCTTAGGAATAGAAAATGGAGAGGAATGAAATGGTAAGAAAACAAGGATGGATAAACCAAATAATGAATAAGAGATAAACACACTCTTAGTATATTTGGGGCTGATGGATAAACCAAATAATGAATAAGAGAAAAACACACTCTTACTATATTTGAGGCTGTTATCTATTTCACACAATAATAATCACTACTAATGTATAAAATAGACTCCTAACACACACTCAAAAGTAGCCAACTTAAGAGATATTTCATTGGTAAATTTGGTTAAAATAGCATCACACTATTTTAAGAGAATACTCAAAAGAGTAACAAAGTTTATCATTCAATAATCAACTGTGTTACAAAGGCCTAAGGGCCGAATTATGTACAATGATGGAAAGGGAGTAAACATTACAAATGAAAGTAAAAACAAACAAGGAAACTACCAAGCATCATCCCTTCACAATTCAGCATTTGTTCTTATCTCATTAGTGGATTGCATTCAAAGGAAAAAAGGGATTTGTTTGGCTTTGATGGGGCTAGTTTTATTCGGCCATGTGTAAGGAAAATACAAGGGGATTATGAGACTAAAATAAGGTGTAGATTTGTCTTGTTTGAGAGTGGGAAATTCGGCCATTGTGGGCCAAGACTTAGAAAATAACATGGCCTAATTTTTTGTGAATAATAGGACAAGAAGTTACTATTCAATCAAAGACCTTTTGCTGATTTTTTTCCCTTTGTTGTGTGTGGTTATTTAGGCCGGATTTTGGGAAGAAAATGGTTGGGAATTTCGTGGGAAAGGTGTAGGAAAATATGGGGAAGGTAATATTTAATGAAAGGAACAAAACAAGTAGAAAATAACACACAAGGTTTATCTTTTTTTGTCCTCATTTTCGTCCAAGTTTAAAAAGGAGGGCAAAGACTTTATTTTGATTATCAAATGAAGATAAAATACTTTTGGATAATTTGGGAGAGGTTGGGATTTTAGTGGAGCCATCTAGGGGTACATCATACTCCCCTTCTTCGAAGAAAGTTTGTCCTCAAACTTTCGCACCACCGTGACTGATTGGGTTTCATAAAAGAATTCCCGGATCAAATGGGAAATTCAATGAACCACCAATAATGAGGTTCCTTCCGGAATTAGTGGGCACCTCGTTGTGTAATTTCCAGAACATGATCCCATTCCTTGTAAAATCTGCTTCAAACATACCTTAGATATGAGAAAAGATTTTACTTCATTGAAAAGAGGATAATACTCTATGGAAATCACTTCCGTAGAATATATAACTTCCGGTGTGGCTTTCCCAAATCCTTCGTCAATGGATCGGCGATATTGTCGTCTGTACCTATCTTGCAAATCTCAACGTTCCCACGTGCAACGATTTCTCGTATGATGTGATAACGTCTAACGATGTGTTTGGTCTTCTGGTGAGACCGAGGTTCTTTCGCTTGTGCAATTGCCCCATTGTTGTCGCAAAACAACAGTATAGGGTTCTTGATACTAGGAACCACTCCAAGCTCAGTAATAAAATTCTTGAGCCACACACTTTCCTTGGCTGCCTCGGCTGCAGCCATGTACTCTGCTTCTGTAGTGGAATCAGCGGTAGTATCTTGCTTGTAACTCTTCCAGGTAACAGCTCCGCCATTCAAACAAAACACATACCCTACCTGCGACTTGAAGTCATCTCTATCAGTTTGGAAGCTGGCATTAGTATATCCAACAATACTGAGCTCTTCTTTTCCGCCATATACCAAGAAGGCATCCTTAGTCCTTCGGAAGTATTTAAGGATGTTCTTCACAGCCGTCCAATGGCTTTCGCCAGGGTTGGACTGGTATCTACTTGTGACACTCAGAGCAAAGGCGACATCAGGTCTCGTACATACCATCGCATACATGATGGATCCAATGGCCAATGCATAAGGAACATTTCTCATGCATTCTACTTCCTCCAGAGTGGAAGCACCCTGCGTCTTGGAAAGACTCGTGCCTTGGACCATACGCAAACTTCCACGTTTCGACTCAGACATGCTGAATCTAGTGAGGACCTTGTCTATGTATGTACTTTGAGTGAGACCCTACAGCTTCCGTCATCTATCCCTATAGATCCTTATGCCAAGTGCATAACTGGCATCTCCCAAGTCCTTCATAGAGAAACTCTTACTCAACCACGTTTTGACGGTGGTTAAAGTAGGAATATCGTTTCCTATGAGCAGTATGTCATCAACATACAGAGCAAGGAAGACTACAGCACTCCCACTGAACTTCTTGTATACACAAGATTCATCCGAATTACATTAGAAACCAAAGCCGATGACAGTTTCGTGAAAGCGGATGTTCCAACTCCGTGAGGCTTGCTTCAATCCGTAGATTGATCGCTGCAACTTGCATACCTTGGTAGATTCTTCAGGAGCGCAAAACCCTTCAGGTTGTGTCATAAATACATCCTCAAGGAGGTTTCCGTTAAGGAAAGCCGTTTTGAGGTCCATCTGCCAGATTTCGTAATCGTGGCATGCTGCGATAGCAAGTAAGATCTGAATGGATTTAATCATGACAACTGGAGAAAAAGTTTTGTCATAGTCGATACCATGTATTTAACGATATCCTTTTCTACCAATCGTGCCTTGAAGGTTTGCACCTTACCATCCATGTCAGTCTTCTTTTTAAAGACCCATTTGCACCCAATGGGTTTGATCCCTTCGGGTGCATCAACCAAAGTCCATACTTGGTTGGTGTACATGGAATCCATTTCGGACTGCATGGCTTGACGCCATTCCTCAGCCTCGGGACAACTGATTGCCTCGAGGTAGGTCTACGGCTCATCCTGGTCGATAAGCATTACGTCACCCTCAAAGGTTAGGAGGAATCCATACCTTTTAGGTTGTGTGCGTAACCGGTTAGACCTACGGGGTTCTTGTGTATCTTGAGCATTTTGAGGTACAACGGTTTGTTCCTCTAGCTCATGTTCCAGAACCGGCACGGTAGTTTCTTCGTCGTCTCGAATTTCTTCGAGCTCTATCTTTCTCCCACTAGTTGCGTTGGAGAGAAATTCCTTCTCGAGGAAGACACCATTGCGAGCAACGAATACCTTCTTATCGATAGGGTGATAGAATGAATACCCTCGAGTTTCCTTTGGGTATCCCACGAAGAAACACTTATCAGACTTGGCGTCAAGCTTGCCATTCGTCATAAGACGTTTGACATAAGCCTCACAGCCCCAAATCTTTAAGTGTGACAGAACCGGGCATTTGCCCGTCCATAGCTGGTATGGTGTTCCTTCAACCGCCTTGGTTGGAACTCGGTTAAGAGTATATATTGCAGTGCTCAGCGCATACCCCCAGAATGATTCTGGTAGAGTCGAATGACCCATCATAGAACGAACCATGTCAAGCAGGGTTCGATTCCTCCTTTCAGAGACACCATTCCATTGTGGAGTCCCAGGAGGTGTGAGTTGGGATAAAATCCCATGCTCTCTAAGATAGTCATCGAACTCACCACTTAAGTATTCTCCACCTCGATCGGATCGTAGTGTTTTAATACTTTTGCCAAGTTGTTTTTCAACTTCATTCCTGAATTCTTTGAACATTTCAAAGGATTCTGACTTGTGTTTCATGAGATACACATAGCCATATCTACTGAGGTCATCAGTAAAAGTGATGAAGTATGAATAACCACCTCGTGCAGTTGTATTGAAAGGCCCGCACACATCACTATGAATGAGTGCCAGAAGATCACCAGCTCTTTCACC